CACACACACACACACACACACACACACACACACACACACACACACACACTAGTGGTTTCTAAGTGCATAGAAAGAAAATAGACTCACTTAGAAAGGGCATCTGTTTCAGTGGCAGCAGAGATCCTGGCCAAAGAGAGGTGCCAGTTGGCAAGCTGTATGCTGCTACCTCCATGCTGGCAGCTTGAAGCCCTCAGCAGAGCTGGCTCTGAGCAGCCACCCCTCTTCCTGGAGGGGTAGACAATGAGGCCAGCTCTGATCTGCCCTTCTGGTGGCGGGGGGGGAGGGGGGGGGACTGAATGCCTGGACCAACCTGCTTGGTGCAGCACATGGAGTTTTTGCCCACCCTGGGGAGGTCTCGGGTCCAGCTCTCTGAGGGCCTCAGCATTTGAGTTAGACAGAAATGTCTGTCTATACCCATGTCTAGAGGTGGTGGACTGATGCAGCGCAGGCCATATTGCCTGTTACTTGTGTCTCAGAGCTTTGACACACATCAAGATCTGGTTAGCCTTGGCAGGGCTGCCACACACCAGCCGCCTGCCCCCGGCCCCCTGCAGGGAGCTGCCCTGTTTAACTGGCCCTCCTCCTCCTAGGGACCTGGAGCTCTGGGCAGGCAGAACAGATGGTTCTTCTCAAGAGCTGCTAATTTGGTCAATATGTGGGGTGCCCTGTTGAAAGCCTTGTACCCTCAGAAGTCTGGACCTGAGCTGGTTTCTGCCACGACTGCTTTAGCTGCTGTGGTCCAGTGCCTGCTCAGGTGGTGTGTTACAGAGCTCAGAAGCTTCGGGGACCTTGGAGGTTCTCCTCATTCCCAGAGAATTGCGCTCTAGTAGAGGAATGACTAGGAGAGTGGAGAGACTTCATGAATGGACTGCTCCCCTGCTCATGCTGTGCTGCTGGTGGCTATGGTGGTTGTGATGGCTGTGGCAGTGATGGTGGTGGTGATGATGGCGTTGGTGGTGATGGTGGTAGTGGTGTTGTTGGTGGTGATGGCAATGAGGGTAGTGATGATGGGGGGGATGGCGGTAATAGTGATTATGATGATGGAGTTATAGTGATGGTGATGGTTGTAGTAACGGTAACAATGGTAGTGATGGTGATAATGGTGATGGTTGTGGTGGTGGTAGTACTGGAGATGACAAGATCTATGCTGTTTTGAACACTTACTATAGTGCACAGAACAGCCATACAGTTATCCCCACTCTACAGATGAGCAAAACTAAGGCACAAAGAGGATCTCCTGACCTGTGTTGACAGTGGGAGCTGGATTTTACCCAAGTGGCTTGGCTCTGTCACCTAGTCAGCACACTTAACCCTGTCCATCCTGGTGACTTGTTGGTTAGTTCTATGAATAGCCACTCAGGACCTCTGGAAGCATGCAGCAGCAAAAGTAACATACTACTGGGTAGCAGAGCTTCTGAGAAGTTAAACAGAGGATGGCTCTCACTGCCCCAGGCTGTCTATGCTGCTCTCACTGCCCAGGCTCCCTCTCAGCATCCTGTGCCTGTCTCCCAGGCACAGCTGGAGGCCCTCCTGCGCTTCCTCCACCCTCTAAGCCCAAGCCTACCTCGGGATCTTCAAAGGCCATACCTTTGCCCAACACTCTTACTAGGAGTTTTCCCTAACTTTCTCCCACAAGTCTCCCAAGGTCCCAGTTTGAGTGTGACACCTCCCTTCTCAGAAAGACCCCCCCCCAAAGACATAGGAAATTCCACCAGGCTCCTGACCATTGTTCTGTCATGGGCCTTCTGACTCCTTTGATGAAAAACCCGACCAGACCCTGGCACATGAGCTCACATCCTTGCAGTAGCTGCTAGCTGTGCGGAGAAGCAGGGGATGAATGGGAAAATTCACAGCTCCACTAGATTAGATGAACCGAGGTCAGATTGGCCTAAGAAAATGTGGCAGACACAGCTCATTAAAGCAGTGACATTTGTAGCTCTCAGGACAAGTTGAGTAGGGAGCGGCCTGCTGGCTGTCCACCAGTGATCTGCCTTGCTGACTGATTTTTATGGTGCCGGGGTTCGATCTCAGGGCCTCACACATGTGAGACAAGCACTCTGTTCCTGCTGTATACCTAGACCCAAAGGACACTATTATCCATTCCGATTTCATGTGTGTATGAGGCCAGGCATGCTTTCCCATGGTGTAGTGTGGAGGTGAGAAGACAGCTTGTGTGATCAGTTTCTTCCTCCCATCGTCTGGGACGTGGGGATCAAACTCAGGTCATCAGGCTTGCCTGTAGTGCCTTTACCTACTGAGCTAGCCATCTCACCAGACCCAGGAACATTTTAAATGTCCAAACAGATAGGGATGGCTTATCATGGATTTGCCCGTTCTAAATATGTTTTTTTTCAAACGTTTTATTTATTTCTATTTATGTGCATGGGTCTTTTGCCTGCATGTATGTTTCACATGTGTGCAGTACTCATGGAGGCCAGAAGAAGGCGTCAGATCCCCAGGAACCGGAGTTAGAAATAGTTGTGAGCTACCATGTGGGTTCTTGGGAATTGAACCTGGATTCTCTGGAAGAGCAGCCAGTGCTTTTAACTGCTGAGCCTCTCCAGTACCCTGAATGTATTTTATTATTATTATTGTTTTTTTTTTTAAAGACAGTGTTTCTCTGTGGCTTTGGAGGCTGTCCTGGAACTAGCTCTTGTAGACCAGGCTGGTCTCAAACTCACAGAGATCTGCCTGCCTCTGCCTCCCAAGTGCTGGGATTAAAGGAATGCGCCACCACCACCCAGTCCCTGAATATATTTTTATGGTGTAAGAAATGTAGTCTTTTTAGTCAATAAAAGACTTCTCCAACAATTTTGTTGACACCATTCCTCCACAAATAAGATTTCTGATAATAGCAGTGGGTTTCAATAGAGCCTTCCCACACACCTCAGATGAGAAATTCCAACCCAATGATGCCCTACACCCCTGGCATTCTTTTCCCTCTGCCCACTGTGACGAAGGGACTAAGGAATCCCACCCTGGTTGCTCCCTGTACCAGAGAGGAGATATCTGCAGATGGTGTCTCCACGGTGCTTTTCCAGGGTTCTTCAGGCTGACCAAACCTCCCCAGATCTTTTGCTTGGGATTTTATAAGGTCTATAAAAGAGCACTCACTCCTGAGAAGTACCATTTGTGGAAAAGCCTAGAATAGCGTACAGCCCACTGTCAGGAGTCTCTGAGTGCCCTTCTGAAACCAAATATATATATATATTTCTGCCCAAAGACAACAGATGCAAGACTGTCCCTAGTTACTTATTTCATCATCACCCAGAGCAGGAAACACCTCCATGTGCCCAACAGCGGCAGGATGGTTAACAGACAGTGACATGTTCCTCCAGTGGGACAGTGCACTGGAAACAAAAAGTAGCATAGAGTGGAACTCAGTGGTGGAAAGCACTGCTTAGCATCCAGCACCGAAGTGTGTGACCTGGCAGTGAGCTGAACCTCCGGACCTGGGGCAGTGGATGAATCCTCACATCTGCCACAGAATAGAATATTGGGGACTGGCGGTATAGGTCAGTTGGTAGGATACTAGCCTAGTGTGCACAAAACCCTGGATTCAGTCCTGGCATTGCATAAGCTGGGTATATTGGTGCATGCCTGTGATTCTGGAACTAGGGAGGTGGAGGTAGAAGGATCAGATATTCAAGGTCATGTTTGGGTACATAAGGAGTTGGAGACCAGCCTGGGCTACATAAAAATCTATTTTGAAATAAAAAAATTAAGTCAAATCAGAGTGAAACAAAGCTAGCAAACTTATTGGTTGCCGGGCGTTGGTGGCGCACGCCTTTAATCCAAGCACTTGGGAGGCAGAGGCAGGCAGATCTCTGTGAGTTCGAGGCCAGCCTGATCTCCAGAGTGAGTGCCAGGATAGGCTCCAAAGCTACATAGAGAAACCCTGTCTCAAAAAAAACCAAAAAAAAAAAAAAAAAAAAAAACTTTATTGGTTAAGCAGGAAGATAATATCTGCTTAGATGGAGTCACGTGACTTGAGAGACACACGTCTGAGACTTTATGACAGTGGCACATACAATATGAAGCAACTTAAATTAGCAACTAGTTCAGGCCCAAGATGTACCGGCATACTCCTTATTTACAGAATTCTCTCCTTGAAGAGGCTTTGTAGGTACTTGGTATAGTTGGGTGTGGGAGGATATCTTAGTTGTTTTTTTATAGCTGTAATAAGACATCATGACCAAGGCAACTTACAGAAGAATGAGTTTGTTGGGGCATTCAGTTTCAGGGGGTAGAACTCATGACCATCAGCTGGGGGAGCATGGCACTGGACTGGTGGGCATGATGCTGGAGCAGTAGCTGAGAGTTCATATCTTGATCCTCAAGCACGAAGCAGAGAAAAATAACACTGGGAATGGCACAAATTATTTAAACTCCAAAGCCCCAGTCACATACCTCCTCCAGCAAGACCACACCTCCTAATCCTTCCCAAGCAGTTCCACCAACTGGGGGCCAAGTATTCAAACATTTGAGCCTATGGGGGCCATTCTCAAACTGCCACATTCTACTCCCTAGCCCCCAAAGGCTCATGGCCATATCAGAATGCAAACTGTATTTAGCCTGTATTAGTCAGGATTCTCTAAAGGAACAGAACAGGATGGAATGAAGCAGCTGAATGGGTGAGGGCAGCAGAGTGGAAGCATGGCTCAAAACAAAACAAAAAACAAAAAACGATAAACTGAACTCGGTTTTATAAGGCACCACTTTTTTATTTTTAAAGATTTATTTATTATGTATACAACATTCTGTCTGCATGTATCCCTGCACGCCTGAAGAGGGCACAGGATCTCATTATAGATGGTTGTGAGCAACCATGTGGTTGCTGGGAATTGAACTCAGGACCTCTGGAAGAGCAGTCAGTTCTCTTAACCTCTGAGCCATCTCTCCAGCCCGTAAGGCACCACTTTTAAGCAAATTGTCTCATTTCATCTTTATGACTCTCTGTGATTTCAGCATGGCCGTCTGTCCTTTGGAAATGAAGAGACTGTGGTTCAGATGGAGTGCCATGTTTAGGGTCCCTTTACATGCATGGCTTTCTGATCTGCTGCAGGGTTTTTGAGTTCCTCTTACCAACTTCAAAGTTCATGCATTGCCTTGGCACCACAGCTGGCCCTCTTTGCTCAAGGATCAAATCCCTCATCTACTCCTACCCCACAACAGTCCCCAAATGGCTCTAACACAGGTGTGTCTTCTCCTCAGCATCCCTTTGTCAGCAGTGTCACCAGTAACAAGGCTCTTCGGGAGCTGGTGGCTGAGGCAAAGGCTGAGGTGATGGAGGAAATCGAGGATGCCAGAGATGATGTCAGGGATGACGGAGAAGAGGAGGAGGCTATGGATGCCACCTCGGTAAGTCTGGGGGAGGAGGAGAGTGGGCCCCAGCACCTCTGGGAAGGAGGCTGGGGAATGATTCCTTTCTGCCTCTTGAGGCCAACTGGCTGGGAGCCCCAAACACCCATGGCCAGGGTGACACTGAGCAGTTGTTGGCCAGATCCAGGTTCTCGAGCATGTAGGACCTAGAGCTGTCCTAGGTCCCTGGTCTCACAGTTCAATCCAGGAGCTTCTCCTGGGGAACTGCTCATCTTACCAGGTCCACAGTAAGTCAGGGTGAGTTATCATGGAACTGAACCTGCAGATCCTTCACATTTAATGTCTTTTTATTATTTAGTTTTAGATTTTTTTCAGACAGGGTCTTACTGTGTAGCTCTGACTGTTCTGGAACTCACTATGTAGACTAGGCTAGCCTTGAACTCACACAGACTCTGTCTCCTGAGTGCTGAGATTAAAGGTATGCACCATTGTTCCTGGCTCTTTTTATTTTGAAGTTTTAAAATTTTATATAGAATTAGGCTTCTCTGTAAAAAAAAAAAAAAAAAAAAAGTTTAAACAAAAATCTGTTTTTGGTTCTCCTTCAGATAGAAGAGGTTGCTGGCCCACTCCCAGTTGTAACCCCCATGGCCTCCTTTCCATCTTCATGCCAACATGTAGACACTTATTTCCTATTCACAGAAATGAGTATCTGGTTTCGTCATGACAATGTTCCCAGTACTTTCCACCCCACAAAAACTAAAATACTAAAGTATTGATGATTACAAAATGGAGTCATAGATAGGTTAATAACGGGTAGTTTATTAGGGGAAAATACTCACTCAAGGGAACCAGTGACTAGGTTTGCACCTGAGCAGGACAGACCCAGAAATGCTTCCCAGTCAGCTCAGCCAAGCGAGAGAGAGCCTCATGCTCGCCTCCCTCCTTCTTAAACCCTTGTTACATAACTGGGCATGGTCAGCGATATCTATAATTAGGGTTTCTCCCTACATACAAGGGGTGGGTGGACTGAATCCAGTCCCTGGGTAGGATTGATTGACACTTTATATAATTTTACATTGTGAATTAGTTGCCACCTAGAAACCAACAGATAGTCACGTGAAAATTTATATGGCTGAGATTGGCACTTGGCTCAGTTGGTAGAATGCTGGCCTAATATGCCTAAAACCCTGGAATCATTCTCAGCACCACATAAAACTGGCATGTGGTGCATATCTGTAATCCTAATACTGGGGGGATGGAGACAGGAGGATCAGAAGGATCATAGTCTTCTTTGTCTACACAGCAAGTCTGAGCTATTTGAGGCCCTATCACCAAACAAACAAAAACCCCAGAAAATTCGGATTGCCAATGTGTGTTGAGAAATTGGAAGGCCTGGCCTCAGGTGAGACAGGGGTATTCCCCATGATGTGACAATTGGCTGGGCCTCTCTACAGACAGCCACAGCCTGTTTTTCTCATAGGACCAAAGCAGTGATTAGGTGAAGTAGCAATTAGAGAGAGGAGGTGAGTCCTCACCCCGTAGTAGCCTGTTGAGGAGAGGCTGTGGGAAGTGATGGAGACGGCTCAGGGTCCCGGCTCTGCTCTGCTGGCCTGTCACCTGTGGGCCTGATTACTGCCTTGGACTCCTGACAGCTCAACCTGTGACTCTTTTCTAGCCCCTGGTCAACCATACTCAGGACTCTGCTGTTGCAACTGAGACAAGCCTCAACTCTGACAACCCTCCCCAGGATTCTTGTGTCACCCTGCCTCCCAGCCAGCCTCAGGAGCCTGTGAACAAACCCTGTAGCCAACCCTCAGGGGATGGACCCCTCCAAACCACCAGCCCTGCAGATGAGGTCCCCAAGAATGACAGTGACTCAAAGGTACCTGTTTCCCTCCGGAAGTCCCGACCATTGTCCATGGATGCCAGAATTCAGGTAGCCGAAGAGAAAGAAGTCACTGGCCAGGCTGAGGACTCCAGTCCTGTGGCCAGCAAGTCCCAAAAGGCAAACCAGAGCCGCCCTAACAGTGTCGCCCTGGAGACCTTGGGTGGAGAGAAGCTGGCCAATGGTGGCCTGGGGCTCCCAAGCTCTGTAGTTCCAGGCCATGCTAAGAGGGCTTCAGACTGCAGCAGCCTGTCTACCTCGGAGAGCATGGACTACGGCTCCTCCCTGTCTGCCGACCTGTCACTGAACAAAGAAACGGGCTCACTGTCTCTCAAGGTAATTTCACCTGTCACCCTGGGAGCCAGAGCAAGCATGCTGGCCAGTGTGCCATGCTCAGTTCCCTTCTCAAAAGCCTGCAGCAGCTACTTACATTGTATTTGGTTTGTGTATCCATACAAGGTGCTAGGGTGAACCCAAAGCTTGGTGTGTGCTAAGTCACACACACACACACACACACACACACACACACACACACACATCCTCAGACTCTTACTTCTTATTTTAGATGGCTCATGAGTGTGGTTCTTTCTTAAAGATTTTCACTCACCTCATGGCTTAATACCCACATGTCAGTATAAGATGGTGATGGTACATGTTTAAATTTTAAAGTTTGGTTAAAGAGCCTAAAATTGAGCCAGGTGTTGGTGGCACATGCCTTTAATCCCAGCACTCGGGAGGCAGAGGCAGGTGGATCTCTGTGAGTTCCCCGCTAGCCTGATCTCCAGAGCGAGTGCCAGGATAGGCTCCAAAGCCTCCAAAGACAGAGAAACCCTGTCTCGAAAAACAAAACAAAACAAAACAAACAAACAAAAAAAGAGCCTAAAATTGGGGAAAGACCATTCCAGAAGTGGAAGTTCTCTTGCTTGAGGGTCAGCTGTGTGGCCAGTGGCTAAGAGGTAGATTCAGTGAAGGGATCTAGGCTCATTCTCCTCTCTGGCCTCCTGTCTGGCAATGAGTGACGCTAAGTGACTGTAGCCATTCTGTGCAAAGTACTTTAAGCAGAACTAAAGGACTGCTTCCTCCCACAGTTTCCAGGTGGGCAGTAGAGACTAAAGAAGTTGGCAGCTGGCACAAGGCTGTGTGGGTGGAAGCAGGGAGGTGGTCAGACCTGGGGCTGGGCTCCTGGCCTTGTGTGCCTTTAGCCCTCTCCTTCCGGTAACTAGGAGGGGTGACCCCCCTTCCTTGTCTGTCCCCAGCAGTTCTGTGATACTATTAAACTTACTGTTGGTCACCTGAACCCCCAAACAAGACTGACTTGGGAGGTCAGAGGGATGGGGTGATGCTGTGTATTTATGTATTGCCTTCTAAGACTTAGTATAAAACACACAGTAGAGATTCATACATCTGTTAAGTGCAAGGAAATGAAGGCACCACTGCCCCGCAGTAGCCTCTGGAGCAGAAAGAGGCTTCATCAAGCAGACATGTCCACAGTAGCTTTTCTTTTTATTTCCTCAGAACAGACACAGATTGTCATCAGCTGTAGTTGCCCAGCTGTCGCCAGTGACTTTTTTGTTTGTTTGTTTGTTTTGAGATAGGGTTTCTTTGTGGCTATGGAGGCTGGCCTGGAACTGGCTCTTGTAGACCAGGCTGGTCTCGAACTCACAGATATCCGCCTGCCTCTGCCTCCCTAGTGTTGGGATTAAAGGCGTGCGCCACCACCGCCTGGCTCGCCAGTGACTTTTATGTACTTCTTCCTCCTAATAGGGCACCAGGTGGGGCTGGAGATGTAGGGTAGAGTGCTAGCTGCATGTGCACGTGGCCCTGGGTTCAATCCCCAGCACCATTAAAAAATACAGGCACTGAGTGTCCAGAGCTCAGGTGAGGTGTGCTGGGCAGCAGTCCACAGAGCCAGGAGCCAACTCTTAGCCACCCTAGTATGCCCACTCCTCTTCAAGGGGCTAGAAGGCCCATGGGCCAGGTTGCAGAGGCAGGGCTACATTCTAGGAGGAAAGGCTTTTGGGGTCGGCAGAAATTCTGAGGCAGTGGGCAGGACAGAGGCCATCAGGTAACCACTTGAGGCCCCTAAGCTGTCATCTGAGTCAGAATGGAGCACTTCCACCATGACACCTCCCAGGGCCAGGTCCTCTGTAAGTGGCCTTTGTGGAGTGTGTGGTTCATTACAGAAGGAGATAATTGAGAGGAATGGTCCCACGAGACCCCGGACAAGAACAGTTGTCTATGAGCTTTAGCTAGCTAGCTGAGGCCACCAAATCTAACAGGAATTGCTTTCTGTGATCATGACTGGCAGAGGTAAATTCCATGCCATATGTGCCCCATGTGCTTCTCATCAAACCTTCATGGCCACCCAGGGAGGCAAGTTCTGTTTTGATACTCCATGGTCAAAGCTGAAATTCAGGCAAGACAAGGGTCTTTTCCAGAGTCAGGAAGCCGCCAGTAGCCAGTGAGGATGAACACAGTCCTTTTTGATGTTGAGACTGTGTTTCGCAAGAATGCTTCAGTGAGGTAAGAGCCTTGTGTAGGTGTCTGAAGCCGAGACCAGCAGAAGGAAGGGGGTACGAAGGCCAGACGCTTCCCCTGTTTGGGAAGCTTGAGGGAGCAGGACAGTGGATGGCCGCACCCTCCCTGGGCCCAGGCTGTGGACCTCACCCTGTCTCCACTGTGGATTTCTAGCTGAGCTTGGGCGTGTTCTCCTTGCCAGGGATCAAAACTGCACAACAAGACCCTGAAGCGGACTCGAAGGTTTGTGGTGGATGGTGTAGAGGTGAGCATCACCACCTCCAAGATCATTAGCGAAGATGAGAAGAAAGACGAGGAGATGAGATTTCTCAGGCAAGTCCGGGGAGGCACCAGTATGGGGAACTTGTTGGGGTGCCCTAAGAGTGCTAGGCATTGAACCTTTAGGTGGGGCAGCTGCCTGTCTGCCACCCATCTCTTCTGTCCATCTGTCTACTCATTCATCCACATGCCCAATGACTCATCTGTCTCTTCTACATATGCATGTCTCTGCTCCTCTGTTTGGTTACCTAATCCCTACCCATCTGCCTACTCTTCTATCCACTCATTCATCCAGCTATCTGCCTACCCACCCAGCTGTCTGCCTTCCCACCCAGCTGTCTGCCTACCCACCCATCTACAGACAGCCCAACTGTTCATCTGTTTTTCCTTATCTATTTGTCCATCCATCCATCCATCCATCCATCCATCCATCCATCAATCCATCTACTCCTGTGTCACCCACCTGTCCACCCAGTTATCCATCTGTTCATCTACCCTTGTCTGTAGATGTCTCACCTACTCATGTCTCTTCGCCCATTTAATCCATCCACCCACCCACCACCTATTCACTTAACATTTATCTATCCATACATCCACCCAATTATTGACTCATGCATTATCTACCAAGTGAATCAGAATGGAAATCCAGATACATAAAGCTATCCCCCCTGTTGAATTTATACCTATACCAAACACAATACACAAGCTAATTCTTGATTGTGCTGCACACTGGGAAGGAAGGAATGGGTGATACAACAGTGAGTGCCTGGGCTGAGCAGAGATCGCTCGTAGGGACCTCGCCATCACCACCCTGAGTTGAGCTTGAAAGATGAGGTGAGTCCCAGAGCTAGAGGAGTGCTGAGGGAATCTGAAGTTGCTGAGGCCCTGGCAGGTGACCTCTTGATTTGTAACAGGATCTTAGAGAACAGAACTTCAGTATGGAATGCTGGGACAGAGGAGGGTAGGACTGTGGTCTGTGTGGGGGTTGGAGCCAGGCTATGGAGGGTAAAACTGACTTGGGAGGTGGGAAGAATGTTCAGGACCATCAGACTCCGGCTTAGGCTGGGGCGGTGGCCAGGAGGGAAAAAGCATAGGAGTCAGTGAGAACGAGAGAGGGAGAGGACAGAGAAGGAAGGTAAGGCAAAGCCACTTGACTGTAGCAGCCTGACACACTCCAGTTGTCTCCAGCAGCCCTTCCCCGGGGACCCTATTCCTCATGTGCATGCAAGGAAACCATGTTTCTTGGCAGATAAGCTGCAAGTGCTGGGTCTCTAGTTGACAAGGAGCAGAGTGGCAATTCCACCTGAGAATTAATTCTTCCAGTTTTCACTGTGCACTGTGGCTTCTTGGGACCGTTGGTGAAGAGTAGGTGGCTGGGCACTGAGGAGGCTCAGAGCACCCAAAGCCAGGGCTTTGCAAATGTCACCATTGCTTTGAAGGGAGCTTCTTGCATTCTAGAATAGAAATAGTTTAGAGTGTTCTAGGGGCATTTCTTCCATCTTGGACCAGTGGGGTGAGGTTTAATTTTAAATGACATTGTTACAAACATCTTCATCCAATCCAGAAGTGAAACTAGGGTGTCAAATGTGTAAAGGTATTGCTGGTATCTTTCAAATGTTCTACTAGTTTATATCAGTAACACATGGAGTCCGAACTCCCCTATATGCTTGTCTGTTTAATGAAATGTATTTTTTCTTTTATATTTGTATTTCATATCATATAGATGATTTTACTTTTTCTTCTTATTTTTGCACATGTTTGCTTGTCTTTTTGTGTTGGGGATTGGTGGTTCTTCCTCCTAACTGATCTGTAAATGTTCTTTATATATGGAGGATACTTGTCTTTTTATCTGTCAGAATATCAAAAGAAGCCTGAATCCTGATCATGTCTCTGCTTAAGTCAGTGGGATTCTATTCTACAGCCCATCCTTCCATGCCCTGGGCTGTGAATACTGTGGTCTCAGAGGCCCCCTTCTCACTTGGAAATGTTTGTGTCTGTTAATCTTCAGGCGCCAGGAACTCCGAGAACTTCGGCTTCTGCAGAAAGAAGAACATCGGAACCAGACCCAGCTGAGCAGCAAGCATGAGCTGCAGCTAGAGCAAATGCACAAACGTTTTGAACAAGAAATCAACGTGAGTGAGAGGAGACAGGAGCTTCTGGCCTCCATGTTTTCTTCAGGTGGAGGTGTTGCAGAAGAGGGTAGTTAGGTCACAGTGACCCTGAGTCACACAGGAACACCTCTAGAGGTGGAGTACAGTGCCAGTGTCCCGTCAGGTCAGACAAGGAAACAACTCAGAAAGGTTAAATAACTAGCCCTGGGTCACACAGCAAAGGGTGTTGGGGCTGGGGCTCAAGTCTGGGTCTAGTTCAGACCCTGAGGTATGATGTGGCTCTGCTGGATGCCTCTGAGTCTGTGCACCTTCCAGGCCAAGAAGAAGTTCTATGATGTGGAGCTAGAGAACCTGGAGCGGCAGCAGAAGCAGCAGGTGGAGAAGATGGAGCAGGACCACAGTGTGCGCCGCAGGGAGGAGGCCAAGAGGATCCGCTTGGAACAGGATCGAGACTATGCCAAATTCCAGGAGCAGCTCAAGCAGATGAAGAAGGAGGTAGTGGAGTGTGTGTGTGTGTGGGGGGGGGGTCAGGGCCTCTCTGCTCTAAGTTAGGGTTTCTATTGCTGTGATAAAACACAATGGCCGCAGGAGTTGGTCAGGAGAGGGTTTATTTCAGCTTCCACTGCACAGTCCATCACTGGGGGAAAGGTAGGGTGGGAACATGGAGGCAGGGGTTGATACAGAAGCCATGGAGGAGTGGTGATTACTGGCTTGCTCCCCATGGCTTGCTCAGCCTGCTTTCTTATAGAACCTAGGATCACTGCCCATGGATGGCCCCACCCACAATGGGCTGGGCCCTCCCCCATAAATCATCAATCAGAAAAATGCACCACATGCTTGCCCACAGGCCAATCTCGTGGGGGCATTTTCTCAACTGAAGTTTCTGCTTCTCAAATGACTCTAGCTTGAGTCATAAAAATAGCCAGCACAGCCTCCCTTTCTAATAGAGGGGCTGCATGGAGCCAGTTAACCCAGAACTTTGGGGGCAGCCACACTGGGGCCTTAGTGCCCCAGCCACAAAGCCATGATACTTTAGCCCTTTCTCTGTCTTTTGGATGCCTCTTTCCTGTGTTGGCTCTCCCCCAAGCTGGGTCCTTGCTAAGTGGCTTCTGTTAGTGTCTTTTACATCCTCTTAGAGGAAAGAGATGGAAGAGATGGTGACCTCTAAAATTGGAGGTGCTCTTCTCACACAGGAGGCAGTGCAGGGGAGGCCCAGGACATTCTGCCCCTGTGCTCTGCCCTCTTTTGGTTGTCTTATTTCCCTCAGTTGAAAGGGGGAGGGAGGTGAGGAGATGCATGGCCCTGAGACAACAGGACCGGGGTTCCCAGACTCTTAGCCTGGCAGGCCGTGCTCTTCTGTAGACACCCGGTGCTGCCATCTGCTTATTCCTCTCCTCCCTCCTAGGAGTCTAAGGATGTCCCAGCCCTTAGTTCTCCACCATTGGGAGGTATGGGCCGCTCTGAGATCCAGATGCCCTATGCACAGCCAGGTTGAGTCGTCTCCCTCCCTCCCCTGGACAAGGCCCCTTGTGCATGCTGTACAGGTTCTCTCCCACTGAGTACATCCAAGTTCCTGGTTTAGTTTGACATTTGTTTTTGTTTTTGTTTTTGTTTTTTCGAGGCAGGGTTTCTCTGTGTAGCTTTGGAGCCTATCCTGGCACTCACTCTGGAGACCAGGCTGGCCTCGAACTCACAGAGATCCGCCTGCCTCTGCCTCCCGAGTGCTGGGATTAAAGGCGTGCGCCACCAAGGCCCGGCTTCTTTGTTATTTTATTTGAAAGTTTTCATGGGGAGAAGAGGCTGTGCCCTTTCGTCTTCTCAGGAGAACACTGCCATTTAGTATCTTGTGTCCCTGGTACTATTCTTGCAGGCAGCAAGCTTGATGGCTGTGGTCAGAGGATGGCTCTTCTATTCTTCCAGGCAGCAAGCTTGATGGCTGTGGTCTGTGGATGACTCTCTTTTCAGCGGCTCGATGTAGATTCATATTTACTCTCTCTTCCCAGAGCTCACTAGGGTTCCAACTCTGAGTTCAGTGAGCCTCGTAGTTGTTCCTCAGGACCCTCTCAGGGACTCACTCACTAGGGGCACCCACAGGTACAAGGCTGCTGCATCCACACAGTGGTGCAGTCTGCATATAACCCGCACACACCTCTAGGTCATTCATAATTCCCAGTGCAGTGTAACTGCTATGCAAATGATTGCTGTACTGAACTAGGAGCCATGGCGAGGGGAAAGTCGGCTCATTAGGTTTTCCTAAGGTCTTTACTCAGTGTGCCTGTTGATGAAATTGTGTAATGACTTCTTTCTCAAAGTGTGTCCCTGGCGTGAAGCTAAGTTTGTTAAATGGTTCAGGGTTCCCTAGCGCTGTACACCATATCCCTGGAAAGAACCTTGAGGTCTTCTTAGTTAAAAAAAAAAACTAGATTGTTTTTCTGGTTGGGAAAATGGAAACTCCAATACCTTCAGTAATTCAAAGACGTCACTGCCCTAGAATGCAGCTTATCTGCCATCTGGTGGAACTCGGTCCTGCCCTGCCATGCCTGCCATTGCACAGCTCTGCCAGAGAGCAGTGCTGGCATGTAAAGGGTCCCGTGTGTCCTTGGGTCTGCCTCTGCCTCCTCTATCATCAGAGTGATGCCTGTGTCTTCCATGCCTTTAACAGAAAACTCAGAACCTGGGCTCTATCTCTATGGCTGCCTTTAATCTTCTGTCCCCCAGACCACAACAATCATCTTATAAAAACACGGTTCTAAGTCTGTAGCCCTTAAGTTGTGTGATAGCGCTCATGGTCACTGAGCTGGGACAGGATGCCACACCTGATATAGAGGCTGAGATTCACGGATGAACTGTCCTTTAGGAATTTTAGGTAAACCTGTGCTTACCAGCCAGGAGTCTTCTGTCCCCTTCTCTCTGAGACATTGACTGTGTCTACAAACATTTGGGATGTGTCACAGTTTGAGGATGGAATGGAGCAGCCAGGGACACTGCTGATGACCTGTAAATGCATAGGACAGCCTCCTGTTTCTCAAGTCCCCAGAGTCAGTCACACTGCAGATGGGAAATCCATCTAAAGCAAAGGCCAGAAAACATGAGACCAGACCCAGCCTGCAAAACCCAAGACCATTTTATAAAAACATAGGAATTAGAAAAGAGGGTGAAACAGGCTAAGCTGGTGGGCTTCAGGATTCAGATGGTAAGCATGTCACACTCCTCCAGATGCTCTGAATCCATTCTGTCTCCACAGCAACGCAGGAGTAGTCCAGTTGCTCCTTTTTCCCAACACTTGGTCTTGTCAGCTTTACTGTTTTATTTTAGCCACCCTGATGGGTGTGAAGTGGCATCTCATTGTGACTTTGAGTTTGCATTTCACTAATGACTAGTGATATGAGTCTCTTCACTTGCTTCTTTGTCACCATATGTCACTTTTGATGACATGTCTGTTAAAAAATCTTTTGCTCCTTTATTTAGCTGGGAGATTGGTTCCTTTTTCCTGAAGTCTGACAGCTCTCTTTATATTTGGACTGCCAGTACTTTGTGAGATATTGTTTTGCATGTATTTATTCTCCACCCATGGCTTGTCTTATAGTCCTCATAATAGTGTCTTGTGTTCTTTCAGGGGTAATTCTTTTAGCAGCTTATCTAAGAAACCAAGGAATACTTCCCCAGCCCTATGGGATGTAGTCTTTTAGCAGTTTGTCATGTTGAGTTTTCTATTTTCACATGAGAACATTTTGAGTTGAGTTTCTGTAAAGGATGAGGAGTGAACAGGTTTGGTTAGGGATGCCTGGATGAGGTGTGAATAGGTTTGGCTAGGGATATCTGCCCCGGCATTGTATATTGGGAAAAAAATGCCCACCTTTCTCTGCTAAGTTGTCTTTGTGGAAAAGGAGTCAATATATAAGTGGATCTGGTGTGGTGCATATTGGGTTTGCATATCATACTGTTTCATCCGTCTGTCACTCACCAGTACTCCAGTGTCTGGGAACCCAGACTCATAGTAAACCTGACTTCAAGTGGTGTGAGTCCTGTAGCTGGCAGTTCCGTCCCTTTGCCTTTTTATACACATTGCAGCATCACCTTGCTGATCACGTGAAGAAGCCTGGCAAGACTTTGATTGGCTCAGTTTGGGTGGCATGTCCATCTGGACAACTCTGAGCCTTCTATCCACAGGCATTTTATACACATGCATTTTTTGGGGTCTTCTGGTAAATTTTGTTAGGGATTTTTCATTTTTAGTATACAAGTCCATCATATGTTTTGTTAGAATTATACTTATGTCATTTGGGGATTACTTTTATTCATAAGATACCTTTAAAATTGCTTTTATTGTCCTTTTTGTTTGTTTGGTTTTGGTTTTTGGTTTTTTTTTGAGATAGGGTTTCTTTGTGTAGCTTTGGAGCCTGTCCTGGAACTACTCTGTAGACCAGGCTGGCCTAGAACTCACAGAGATCCAACTGCCTCTCCCTCTTGAGTGCTGGGATTAAAGGTGTGCAGCACCATCACCCAGCTGCTTTTATTCTTATAAAATTACTTACTGTGGAAACTCAGGTAATTGATTGGAGACTTTCTTCTCTTTCTGAGGATTAATGCTCAAAATTCCCCCTCTATGCACTGATTTATCTCAGCAACTTGGATGGGCTGTATTTTTATTTTTATTCAGTTCAAATTCTTTTTGGTTTTTTTGAGACAGGATTTCTTTATATAGCCCTGGATGTCCCGGAACTCATTCTGTAGATGATGCTGGCCTCAAACTCACAGAAATCCACCTGCCTTTGCCTCCTGAGTGCTGGGATGAAAGGCGTGTGCCACCGTGGCCTGACTCAAATTCTTTTCTAATATACTGCAACTTCCTCTTTGACCCATGGACTACTTACAATTTTGCTATGAAGTTTTTTAAAGTTTAAGATTCTTTTTATGATTTAGAACTGTTAGTAAATGTTCCATGCATACTTGAAAAGGTTGTCATTCTGTGTGCTGGGTGGAGTGTTGTGTAAACATCAGAGTGACAGTGTTGTGTCAGATAGACGGTGCTGTTCAGATTGACAGTGCCAGCCTGGAGTCCCCCATGAGGCTGGATGGAGTCCACCACCTGCACTATAGGGACTATAGTGTCTCGCAGAGGGACAGGACTCCCACAGAAGGGGAAACAGACCTTAGATATGGATAGTCTATCTGTGTGATAGATACTTCATGGGTCAGACATGACCAAAACTTGTAGTGCATCCAGAATAGGAAGGCCCTGGTGTAAGGTGTCCTCTGCCATGTCTGCTGCAGGTGAAGAATGAGGTTGAGAAACTGCCCCGGCAGCAGCGGAAAGAGAGCATGAAGCAGAAGATGGAAGAACACTCACAGAAGAAACAGCTGCTTGTGAGTCCCCAGCCTTCGCTTATTGTTTTGAATGCCTAAATCTAGCCCACCATCCATTGACCTCTGTGGTTATCTTCCCTGATTGCCCTCGAAACCCAAGAGTCAGCCCTGCTGTTTTTGGCCACTGCAGCCTGCACCTTAGACCTGCCTACCTTACTGCAAATTGTTTATATGTCACATCTCCTGTCAACCAAAATCAGTCATCTGTCCTGACCCATCCTTTCCCCTCTCTTCACCATCACTTCCTGATGCTTAGTGTCCACACACACACACACACACACACACACACACACACACACACACACAATACATGCTCTCCCCACATATAACACACTATATAAACACACAACACACACATGCAATACATAACATACAGCATATATGCATACATTACTAAACACACTGCAGATACACACACACACACACACTTCCTTCCATCCATCCATCCATCCGTCTGTCCATCCATCCATATTTCACCACTCTTTGGACCCATGAATCTGCCAGTAGCTGGGAAGCTCTCCCAGCTTCCCAGCTACTCTTCCTGCTTCCTCTTGCTTTCCTGCACTTTCTCTCAGACCAGCAGTTACTGTCAATATGAAATCCAAATCTGGCCCTGTGACCCTTTCTTCCTCCAGCTCTGGGCCTTTAAACCCTTCAGCACTCTCCCTTTGCCCATGAGCTGAGGTCCTCCTCACTGTGCCTGCTGCTGCCAGGCCCTCCCAGCCCCACCCTTCCACGCAGCCTCTCATCCTTTGCTGGAATGCGCCTCTTTTCTCCACTGTAGGGGGTGTGGGGGGGAGTCCTTTGCACAGTCTGCCTCCTCAGCCCTAGATGCAGGCAGTTGTAGCCTATATTTACAGATGCTTGACATACAATTTGGTCAAGCATTTATGGTACCTTGGGGTAGGAGCTCTTTGGTTTTCCATTTGCAGAAGAAATCAAAGCTCAGAATGGTGACATTGCAGAGTTGAGAGCAGTAGAGCAAGGCCTGGTACTTGGCCTGACTCCAGACGTCCCTGTCTTTTCTGTGTACCTGTCTCTTTTTAACCAAGTGAGGTTGGTTATTAGTAAGAGAAACAGGTTTTTGTGTTCAGTAGCACAGAAGGGTGGCCAGGCCCAATGATAATAATGTACATGTTCAACACAGCAAGAAGAGGGTCTGTCTTAAATGTTTTACACAAAGAAATGGCCAATATCTGAGGACATAGGAATTCCCCCAAAGTCTCCATTACACACACACACATGCACTGGAACGGCACACTGAACCCATGCACCCATGCAGTTATGAGTAGATAACTTTTAAAACACAGGCTGGAGAGATGGCTCAGCGGTTTTGAGCGTTTTCTGCTCTTGCAGGAGATCTGGGTTTGGTTCCCAGCACACATGCTGTGTAGCTCACAGCTACCCTGTAACTCCAATTCCAGGTGATATAGTGCCCTCTTCTGGACTCTGCAGGCAGGCACGAATACATACACATACATGCCAGCCAGCACCACTCACACATATAAAATAAACAACTAAACAAACCAACCAACCAAGGCTGATGAGAGAGGCGGCCAGGCCCTCATCTGGAGAGAGGGTAGAGAGAAAGAGAGAGAGAGAGAGAGAGAGAGAGAGAGAGAGAGAGAGAGAGAGAAACACTAAGTCACCCAAGCCATCTCAGTGTAAAACCTCATCTTCTCTCCCTGCAGGACCGAGACTTTGTAGCCAAGCAGAAGGAGGACCTGGAGCTGGCCATGAAGAAGCTCACCACAGAAAACAGGCGTGAGATCTGTGACAAGGAGCGAGAGTGCAGGATACCCGTTGCCACAACAGCAGCTTGTGTGACCACCGCTTGCCCTGCTGTGTGCTAGTCAGTTTTCACACCTGGCCCCATGCTGTCCTCACCTATAAGGTAGCTCCTACTACAACCCTAATGTATAGTGAGGAAACCGCACTGGGGAGAGTTACTGTTTCTTGGTCTGTTGACACTACTCTAAGTGGATTCTACAGTCCAAACGGCTAAGAAGCAACAGAAAGGCAATGAGGCCAAAGGCCAAGGATCCACTAGGCTGAGGACCTGCTTCCTCCTGGGATTTCTCACCCTTAGCATGTCCACAGGTTCTCCATTCTCATTTGCCCAACAGAAAAGAAGGGGTGTTAGTGTAGATTTTTCTTAATAGTGTTTTCGAAGAACATTCCCTCTTTGGGGTGTGCTTGTGCCATTTGCTGGAGGAGGAAACTGGGGCCTCTGGCCCCATCCCAGCTACAGCTCACTCCCTGCCTACTGCAGCGCCTTGCCTCCTATGCTTCCAGGTTGCTGGGGCTTGTTGTCTCTTAGTTTCTAGGGCTCCGCTCAGATCAGCCAACATGGTCTCATGAGGAAGCCCAGGTTCCCATTCCTCTGAGCCCAACTTGGGTTGGTTATCAGTCCCTGCAGGAGGCCTGGTGGAGGGGAGGAGTGGGAGACCGTTGTGTCTCTGGCCTTGTCCACTCCTCACCATGCGGATGGCATGTCCTCCACAGACCGTGAGGCAGCCCTGTGGGAGATGGAGGAACATCAGTTGCAGGAGCGGCACCAGCTGGTGAAGCAACAACTTAAGGACCAGTATTTCCTGCAGCGGCACGAACTGCTGCGCAAGCATGAGAAGGTGAGGCCTGGCAGGATGCTGATGCAGCACCCAGGAGGGGCTGCTGCAGCCCGAGACCTTCTCCTGGGCACCCTGCTTGAGGGACAGGAATCAAGGAACCTGTGAGGGGCGCCGATGGTGCCGGCAGCTCCTTTGCTCACCCCAGCACCTCAGTGCTTGGCTTTCTGTTCAGTCCTGGGCTACTTGAAACTGCCCCCCACCCCCGCCGCTCCAAGAGAAAAGGAAAAGAGAAAGGGGGTGATGCTTCTTGACTCTTTGGGGGTTTTGATCCCCCAACACCCATCTTGAAATTGAAAATAACAGTACAAATGCCCCTCAGCTGCCTGCCCTCCGGGCCTCCTACTTAGTTGCACAGCTCTGAGGCAGCCCAGTATAGGGTATTTCCCCTCAGGAGCATGTGGCCAACCAGAGCTGTAGCTCACTGCCATTGTCCAATATCCAGAATATTGGACTAGATTTTGTTCACCCAGGAATTTTGTTTCAAATTCGAATTACGGGCTCAGCTGAGTCACATTGTTTTCACACCACTGCAAAGTCAGAAAGCTGTGAGTCAAACGATCAGAAGTTGGAGACACTGTAATGTGCAAAGAAAACGCAAGGCCAGTGAAATGACTCTGTGGATAAGGGAGCTTGCCACCAAGCCTGATGACCTGAGTTCAATTCCCAGAACCCTCATAATAGAAAAAAGAAACCTGTCTTCTGAGTGTCATGCTCATGCTTAACCCTCTCCCTCCCAATAAAACAAGTAAATGTAAAACGAAAGAATTTTAAAGAACAGATAATGTTGAGCTGTAGAAGTGAACTTGGGGCTGGAGAGATGGCTCAGTGGTTAAGAGCACTGACTGTTCTTACAGAGGTCCTGAGTTCAATTCCCAGCAACCACATGGTGGCTCACAACCACCTTGAATGAGATCTGGTGCCCTCTGCTGGCATGCAGGCAGAAGACTGTATACATAATAAATAAAAAGAAGAAGAAGAAGAAGAAGAAGAAGAAGAAGAAGAAGAAGAAGAAGAAGAAGAAGAAGAAGAAGAAGAAGAAGAAGAAGAAGAAGAAGACAACTGTGCTGTATTGACACCCTGGCCTCCTGGGTTGATGAGGTCTTTGGCTCCTAAGCACCCCTTCCCCCCCCCACCTCCCCATGCCTAGAGTTCCCCTGACCTCTGCCCGGTTGTCCCTCCAGGAACGGGAACAGATGCAGCGCTACAACCAGCGTATGATGGAGCAGCTGAAGATCAGACAGCAGCAGGAGAAGGCGCGGCTACCCAAGATCCAGAGGAGTGATGGCAAGACACGCATGGCCATGTACAAGAAGAGCCTGCACATCAATGGCGCAGGCAGTGCCTCCGAGCAGCGCGAGAAGATCAAGCAGGTGGGGACCACGCCTGGTAGGCTGTGGGGAGTGGTCACAGAGGAACTTGGTAAGGCCTGGACCTCCTATAGCGTGGGAGAATGTCAAATACTAGATATGGCATAAGGTCCTGGTGATGGTGGTGTGCGGAGTCAGTCAGTCATGACCTGGAAGCTTTGATAGCCCAGGAGAACCCTCCCTGGTGGACAGATCCTTGTTTGACGGTTTGCCATGCACTGGTCCCTTTCATGGTCCCGGTTTTACGTACATGGCGTTCTACGTTCTCACCATCCAAGACCCTCCTTTCATGTCACTTCACCTTGTCAGGTCCCTACTGGTATAGGGACAGAGGCTGGGTCTCCACTCAAGACGAAGTGGGCTGGGCTCTGAGGATTGCTCCTCCGTTCCTGGGATGTGCCTCAGTGGCTCAGCCTGAGGCAGGCGAGCCCCCACAATGGCATCCTCTCTCTGCAGTTCTCGCAGCAGGAGGAGAAGAGGCAGAAGGCGGAGAGGCTGCAGCAGCAGCAGAAACATGAGAATCAGATGCGAGACATGGTGGCCCAGTGCGAGAGCAACATGAGCGAGCTGCAGCAGCTGCAGGTACTTGGCCCCTTGCCTCGGCTTCCCCAAGGCAATCAGTGCTCAGAGGCCAAGGGCTCCACAGCAGGGTGGCATCCTAGTCAGGCAGGCCCAGGTGAGCTGACTCCAGCCTGCTGTGCTTCTCTCAGGCTATGTTACACGTGGATAAATTGTACGACCCTCTTAGACATACTTCCTCTAAAATAGCTGTAGTGTGGAGGGGATGACTCCTATTTAGCGGGATTGGTGTGTGGCTTTGTGAAGTGGGTGATGGAGCTGAATGTGCCTTGCATTCCAGGGCCTGAGCTACCGTGCGGCACGGTTCCTTTGCTTGTGTGGGGGATCCTGACTTTGGGTGTCCCTGCTCCCAGTTTGGTCCCATGCGTTAGGGATATCAACAAGCAGGAGGTGTTTGTCCCTCAGAACATGACAGAGCTAGCACCCCTGTCTAGACTTCAGCAGCAAAATACCAAAAGCCCAGGCCACGAGCTGGTACTTGGGGCCCCCTTGTGGCAGAGTGAGGCATTGTTGTACTTGACAGATGAGGCCCCCACTCCAGCCTCTTGTGAATTTCAGGAAGTTGCTCAGGCTATTGGGCCCATGTGGAAATATGTGGAGAGGCAGGAGATTCCTGAGAATGGCCAGCATCAGAGGCTGCCAGGCAGGAACTCAGTCCTGTTCCAGGACCATCTCAGGAAGGACAACGCCTTTATTCCAACACAAGGGCCCTTCAGGCTAGGATAGGAGATCTCTCCTGAGGAAATGACACAGGCAAGAGGTATTACATATTAGTTACATATGTCATATGATATGTAGCTAGACACAATGCACAATTATACATATAATTTCTGTAGGTAAATAATTGTACACTGTACAGATTTAGACTTAGCTAGATGCAGTGGTACACACTCCTAGTCCTGCCACTTGAAAGGTGTCAACAGGAGGATACTTCGGACCAGGAGTTGCAGGTTGTAGTTTATTTATTTACTTATTATATGTTATATATACATGTAAGTTTGGGCAAATGCATGCCCTGACACACATGGGCAGTTCGGAGAACAACTTTTGGGAGCCAGTTCTGTCGTCCTTCTAGAGTGGGTTTTGAGGATCTAATCCAGGTTGTCAGACTTATGGTACTTATGGTACTTTGCCCACTGAACCATCTCACTAGCTCAAAACATTTTTTAAAAAACCCAGACAACTTACACAAGGTCAGGAGTCCACAGAAGGGTAGGCAGGATGGCTCAGTGACTAAAGTGCTTGCTGCACAGGCAAGTTTGATCCTCAGAAGCCATGCAAAGAAAAGTGAGGACTCCACACAGTTGTCCTTTGGCTCCACATGTACACCATGGCATGCATGCTCACACATGCAACACACACACACACACACACACACACACACACACACACACACAATCTTAAAAACTACACACAGTAGAAAGCTGCAAAATTGCTGTTATTTTTTTGTTTGTTTTTTGTTGTTTTTTTTTTGTTTTGTTTTGTTTATTTTGTTTTTTAGAGACAGGGTTTCCCTGTGGTTTTGGAGGCTATTCTGGAACTAGCTCTTGTAGAGCAGGCTGGTCTCTAACTCACAGAGATCCTCCTGCCTCTGCCTCCTGAGTGCAGGGATTATAGGCATGTGCCACCAATGCCCTGCAAAATTGCTGTAATTTACCCATTTAGAACTATTACTATTATTGTTCTGGAATAGTTTTCTAGGCATTGCTTGGTGCAAGTATGTTACCATATACAGAGTTGTGGATAATGGCAAAGGCATAATAATAAGTCCATGCTAACTACAGTGCCCTCCAGGGTTCAGTGCCCTCAAGGGTGCAGGGGGTCTGGTTCTCCAGGCTTCTGCCTCCTCACTTTCACCCCTTTTCTGCCTATTCCAGAATGAAAAGTGTCACTTGTTGGTAGAACATGAAACCCAGAAACTGAAGGCACTAGATGAGAACCATAACCAAAGCCTGAAGGAGTGGCGGGACAAGCTGCGGCCGCGCAAGAAGGTACTGCATTGGGCTGGTGGGTGCCATTCCACAGATACCTGCCTGCCTAAGATATCTGAAGCCTTCCTATTTCTGGACCCTTGCTTCATGGCATCCCTAAAATAGGTCTGTCCCTGAGAGACAGGACTCATCTACCTGATGTGTTGAACACTGGAAGCCCTACGCACCCTGGGATAGCAGCCTCCACCTGCCCTGGTCCATATGCATCTAAGGCAGAGGACCCTGTCAATCATGCTGGCAGCCCAGTTTGTGGGGAGCTTCTCCCAGGAAGTCGCTCTGTGAGGTCAAAGGCCAGCATCAGCTAGTTTACTTTCTGAATTGGTTTCCTAATGTATAAATCAGTGTGCTTGGGCTAGTATGCAGCTTGGGGGGAGAGCACCTGCATGACACATGTGATATTCTGCGTTCCATCCCCCGCATCAAAGCAAACAGCCATGTATTTAGCAGCGTAAGCACACTCTTTATCAAAATCTATAGTAATAGGGTTCAAAAGCTGGGGGTCTCTCCAGAGCATCTCCAGGGTCTCACGAGACTGGAGTCAGGCTGGGCTGGGTCATTGAAGTTTTGACAGAATCCTCACCTCACATGCAATGTGACCAGGTGCCTCATGCTCCTGCTATCTTGCCAAAACAGACCCTTTCTTCCTTTAATTGCTTTTGTCAGGTATAAATGTAAGTAACACAGTTAGTCTTCGTCACAGGCCTCAGTGTGGTCACAGTAGAGATTGTAGGGCCATTTACAGTCATTAACCCACAGCATATATCAAAGGCATAGGCATTCTTAAACTCTGAGGAGAGAGCTGCCCTTGTTACCCGTGACCTTGTGCCACATTGGCCCGATGTCCTCAGGGTTTTTTAGCTACTGTGTACCTAAGCAGGAGGCAGGCTGTGGACTGCTGGGACTTGTGACACTAAACCCACAGGTACCCAGTGTTCCCACTGGCTATGCGTCAGGGAGTGAGCATGCATCTTCCTGCCCAGCTCTGGGCTTCTGTTTCTGGGGCACATCCTGAAAACGAGCAGGCGTCTCTCCCAGCAGCTGCCTCTGACCTCAGATGGTCTCGTGGGCTCCTAGGAGCATTGCAGGTGTGTACTTGGTGAACTGGCCCTGCACTCTGCCTGTGGGACTGCCTCAGGGCAGGATTCTGTCACAGATTGCTGAGTGGCTGCTGGCATGGTGGCCTGGAGGTAATGGTCCTTTATGCCCTTGCACTTTGTTCGGCAGCCTTGGACACTGTCCTCCTCTTATATCATTCCCTGTGCTGTGGAGTATTTTTAGAAGAATACAGATGACTTCCTTTTAAGTGAGTGCAGACTTCCTGATTTGCTGGGGTCACTGAGAGGATAGGGTGGGGCTTCAAAGCAGTCAGCTCTCCCTCCTCAACTTGCCTTTTTAGACTGTAAAATGCAGACATATTATCTGCATTTTAAAATGTGTCTATAGACCCACTGCTGCCTGTGGGCTAGGTCTGCCTGACTACCCATTTGTAAATGAGTTTGACTAGAAAGCAACTCATTCATTTGCCTTCTGCATGGCTGGTTTTTGCATTACATCGGAAACACTGGTCTGCGAAGCATAGTGTCTCCCATATAGGACAGGGAAACTGCCCCCATGAAATCTGAACAATATCACTTAAACAAGGCCTGGTTGAAATCTGGAATGGCCTCACTCTAGATGAAGAGTTATAGGTAATTAAATGGCTACCGAGAGAAGAATCAGTCTTCTCCAGTAACGAGCCCTGTGAGAAGTTAGCTAACCCTAAGCAAATCATCTCTAACACGTATACAGATAGGCAACAGAAAGTGGACTCAGCAGGCTGTACTCATACATACATCTGCATACATGTAACAACAGTAACCAAAGAAGAGGGGGTCGTGGATTCGAGAGGAAGTGGAGGGGGACACATGGGGGAGATGGAAGAAATGAGGTAAATACAGTACTCATGTATGACATTCTCAGATTGTTTAAATGTTTACCATCTGGCACACAGCAGGAGACAGGCTGCTGCCTGTGGCCTCCGCCAGCTTTGCCGAGGAATGCTGTGGTGGGTAGAAGGCAGAGCTTGAGTTGCAGGCTGTGGTGCTCAGCACTACAAGTTGAGCAGCCCTTCAGCAGAAGCATGGTTTGGGGTTTCAGATCCTTCTTCAAGTTTGGGATATTTGCATATGTCTAATGAGATGTCTGGGGACAAGACCAGGTTAGTTTCTTCTCTTGGCTTGTGGTAGAGCACCAGACAGAAGGTTTATTTTGGCCACACTGGAGTCTGAGGTGCTGGTCACATCAGAGGCAGATGGTGGGAATCAGGGTTGAACTGTACCCCCTCAACACCCCCCTTCATGACCCTCACTTCACTAGTCATTCCTCCCACCCCCCCCCCCAGCTTGGGGGCTGAGTGTTCAGGCACATGAGCCTCTGCTGACATTTTACACTCAAACCATAGCAAGACCCCAGCCCAGATAAACTCAGCCCTGTCTCCCAGGTCCTTCCTTGCACACAGCCAGCAGGTATTTTTGGCGTACTTACCTTTTGATCACCACCGGTCCTATGAGGTCAGAAGTGGATTTTTTTTTTCCACTGTGGCATCAAACTAGCACTTCAAAGTTTTCAGATTTTGGAACATCTTGGACTTTTGGGGTAGGGATATTCAGCTATTCCTGGCTTTAAAATTGGGTGATGTACTAAACCATTCTGTGCCTACACAGCAGTAGAACTGGGGGGGTCACACATTGGACCCTTGAGCTATGTGGTTTACAAATGCATTATATTACATTGGGCCAAGGTAGTGATTTTTCAGCTTTTTTTTTTTTTAATTGCCAGCCTTTAAGTGAAGGTTTTGTATAAATCCAGTTTCTCCTCCCACAAGTTATCTCGTGGTCCATGCTCTCCACCGCCTCTTCGCTTCCTTTCTGGGAGTCTTTTCTGGTGGGATCTGGTGTATCTGGATAAATGAGCATGTGCCCAAAGGAAGCTCCTGTGTGCCCTGCCAGCTGGAACGGGGCCTCCCATTGCCTGAGGAGCTTAGCGCTCCACATATCTCTGGGATCCGACCCTCAGAGGGGCAGAGGTCTTCCTTCTGTCTTCCTAGAAGGCACTGTCCTGATAAAGAGTGTGGAGTCACTTTGCCATCTCTGACTTTGTTGTCATTGGATCCTCTCCCCTGGTTTTTATTTATCTCTTCGCCCAGGAGAGTCTTGTGTGTGCTGGAGCCCTTCTTTCCTCAGGATTTACACTGGGCCTATGAGCAGTTCACAAGGTGCCTGGCAAGAGGCGGAGGTGGGGGGACTGGGGTGTTCACCTCAGGGAGAGGAAGGAGAGACCTCCCACCCATTCCCTGGAGCCTGGGTGGGAGCTGTCCAGAAAGACCATGCTGTTCTGACTGGAATGATTGGCATCTCACTGAGTACCATCTGCCCTCTCTTCCCCAGGCCCTAGAGGAGGATTTGAACCAGAAGAAACGGGAACAGGAAATGTTCTTCAAACTAAGCGAAGAGGCGGAGCCCAGACCCACCACACCCAACAGAGCCAGCAAGTTCTTCCCCTACAGCTCTGGGGATGCTTCCTAACACTCCCATCCCCAGGCTGTGGTGGGTAATGTGGCAGCATGGTCACTGGCGCCTCCAAGCCTCTGAGAACAAGTGACTCAGGACCTCTTTCTCTTGCTTCTGTGCCAGCTCGAACCAGCCCCTCACCCTGAAATGCCCCAGTTGTCCACAATGCCACCCTGGTGCTTCTGATGGATGACTTCGTCAAGACATTCCCATCACCTGGAAGTGATTAGAGCTGTTGGGGTCAGGGGGCAGGCGTGATGGGTGTTCCCTTCCTGTTTGCCAAAACACCAGCTCTACTGTCTGTGGGCACAAGTGCTACCAATGACATCACCGTGAATTCATCCTTATTGTAATCCGTGTGTGTGGTGTGTGTGTGTGTGTGGTGTTGTGTGTGGTGTTGTGTTTTTGTTTTCCCCAGCAGTACCCCCCAGCCTCAGAAAACATCCCTAACAGCCATTTCAGTTCCAGCAGCCAGCTCTCAGGGGTGTCCTCATTCCCTGATTCACCCGGCTTACTTTGTACTTGATGACAGGCGCTGTGTATGGTGGGGCTAGGCGGTGGGGAAAGGAAGGTCAGAAATGTTCATCCTGCTGGTTTCTGGCATCATATCCCATCTCATTTCTCTCTCCCTGCACACACACACACACACACACACACACACACACACACACACACACACACACACACACACACACACACACACTCACTCCTTGGCCTCTTGACACTGCCTGGCTGCCTATGCTCTGGCCTCCTATGGAACCTGCCTGCTGCCTCCTGAGCCTTATCCTGGGCCACTGAGTATGTCATGTGGAGCAGCAGGTGGGAACATGCTGAGCGCTGGCACCAGGGCCCAGAGAAGGCACAGGCTGTACTGCCAGCCTGCAACTCATTTGGCCGCACACAGGATCCTGTGTTCAGGGGTAAACTCCCCTCCACAGCCAACTTCTGCTGCCTAGCACATGCCAATCGCACCCTTGCCCACTTGTCTACAGGTTCCCTGGGAAGGCTGTTGTCCTTTGCCCTAGTCCTGTCCTGGAGTCCCACTGTACATTTCAAGCCTGGCGGTCCCTTGGACTTCCTTCCTCCTGAAGAAATGCTTCCTGCCCTCAGGAACATGCAGAAGCAGAGACACTGAACCTCCATGGGCCTTTGGTTACTCAGGTGGCCTCCTGAGGTGCTGAGCCCCACAGACAACAACCATGTGTCACAACCCAGAAAAACAGCTGTGCTACCCAGCCTGTGTTCACTGATAAAAACAAACCTTTCTCGACTCTGATGCCTAAGTGCTCCATTACAGTAGGTGTAAATGGCTGGCTGCCTTCGAAAGATACTTCCTTTTTTCAAAGCCACTTCCCAAAGCTGCTGCTGGGAACCACTGAGACCTCAGCAGAATTTCTCCATCAGCTGCCCGATGCTGAGGTGATTCCCTGGGAAGTTTCCCCAGATGATAACTGGGTGCTTAGGAGAAGTGAGCTAGGAAAACAACAGGTCTTAGGGCTCCCAGATCGTGTGTGCAGTAAGGAAGCTCACAGAGCCCAGGAGGGTGATAGTTCTCAGGGTAGTGAGCTTCAGCCTGCCTTCAGGTCTCTCACTGAGGGGTCCTGAGGAACAGTTGACTTTGTTCTCTCTGGTGCACGGTGGCTGAGAAATAGGAAAACTAGCAAAGCATACTTGCAGGACCCAGAGATGCCAAGTGGGCAGGTCTGCTTCTGCCATTGTTTACAATCTGCTTTTTTGCATTGGGGGATTTGACAGTGGCTGTTAGACAAAATGCCAGTTTTGTGATTCAGGTAGTCTCTGATTATTCTCTGACTTGTCATTCATACTGTCCTGGTGCTTTGTGTAATTGTTGCTTCCACACTTAGTGCCACCTGAGCCCTGGTAGCTCTACTGTGCCTTTTTGAGTGGGGTCTAGCCTAGTCTCCCAGCCTCATCATTTAGTATATGTGCAATGCCTGCTGCCGACAAGGCCCACGCAGTATTCCTCGTACCCTGTGCTAATGTTTTCTGTATAGGGACAGGCAGAAATGTTTTCAGCTGAGTAAATATAACTAACTTATATTTCCCTTCATGAAGGATAGATGTAATGTGTATGTCATTTCCAACCATCATGTAAATTTTTTGTAAACTGGTCTCTGCAAACAAAAAATGTAAATATGCTTCTAATAAAATAACAAGGTAATTTGCATGCACTGTTGTTTTTCTGGTTGGAGTGGGAAAGCAGGCATGCTTCCCATGTTTGCTTAGCTTCCCATGTTTATCCTCTGAGTATGTACGAACCTCCTCCATCAGGCAGGTCACACTTTACAGTTTCTGTTTTTTTTTTTTTTTTTTTTTTTTTTTTTTTTTGGTTTTTTGAGACAGAGTTTCTCTGTGTAGCTTTGGAGCCTATCCTGGCACTCACTCTGGAGATCAGGCTAGCCTCGAACTCACAGAGATCCGCCTGCCTCTGCCTCCCGAGTCTTGGGATTAAAGGCATGCACCACCAATGCCCGGCCTTACGATTTCTGTTTTAAGAGAGGAAAGAAGCCATAGTCTCTCTGATCACTCAATATCATTTATTTATTTATTAATTTTGGTTGTTGTTGTAGTTTGTTTTGCTTTGTTTTATTTTCAAGATGGAGTTTCACTGGGTAGCTGGATGTCCTGGAATTCTCTCTGTAGACCAGGCTGGCCTCAAACTCAGAGGTCTGCCTGCCTCTGCCTCCCTAGTGCCGGGATTAAAGGTGAAAACCATGGACATTCCACATTGCACCATTTTTCTCATTTTTAAATTGTAGTTGACAAGGCCTGTATGGCTAGATCCCATTTACTATGTATATGCATATGTCATGTTACTCCAGTCATTTGTAAACTGTGTAACTACTGTTTTCCCAAATTGTTGATACCTGTCTTTCAGTATCAGTTTCATTTATAATCGACATACCTCATTGTTGCACATTTTAAAATATCACTTTGAGAAGGACCTCGTATTTGTTGTAGAATACCAGTGAACTTCACACAGTACAAAAGGACGAAGAGTCCACTTCTTAGCCCTGAGCTGCTGTTACCTCTGGACTCCTGCTGGTGGTGTGAACACATCATGGATTGCTTCTGTCTGGGGGATGCAAATAAGCTGGGCACCTGGTACCGTTGCCATAAAGTCTAGAAAAGGGAGGTTCCAAGAATTCAGGAGACTAGCTGGGCGGTGGTGCAACACGCCTTTAATCCCAGCACTCGGGAGGCAGAGGCAGGTGGATCTCTGTGAGTTCAAGACCAGCCTGGTCTACAAGCGCTAATTCCAGGACATCCTCCAAAGCCATAGAGAAAACCTGTCTCGAAAAACCAAAACCAAACAAACAAAAACCAAAAGAGAATCCAGGAGACTGGCAAAACCCCAAAGTGCATTAAGGAATGTGGAGGACTGGGGAAATGAGAATGTCCTATGTTAATTGACCCCTCTTAATGAACCCAGTGCTGGAGATACAGGCATGAGTAATGACCACTGTCTTCAACATACTCTCCCTCATGGAGACAGGACTGGAAAAGCAGAACGTTGGTTAAGGCTGACACTGCCCAGAAGATTCAGGGGACACCCCCTAAAAGAGCCACACTGTCTCAGAGGATAAACCGGTATATTCCAGAATGGCTTAAAAGCATGAAGTTAAATGACGAGAGTTTAGGCCAAACAAGAATGCCAGGCTAAGACGGCTTTTGTCCAAGAAGCACAAGAAGGTTGGGAAAGAACAGGACTGAGGCACTTTGACATTTTCGAAGGAAAAGGAAGATTGCAGGGTTTTGAAGCAATTAGCTTTTTAGCAGAGCCTCGAATGCTGCCTGCAGAGGGACCACACTACAGCTCTGTGGTGGTACCCACGATGTGGTTAACAAGATATCTAGTAGCCATCGAAACAGAACAGATCAGGTCACCTGGACCAGCACTGAGGACAATTAGAGAGTCTGGGCAAGGGGCTCGGTGGCTAACAGCACTCGCTGCTCTTTCAGAGGATCTGAGTTTGGTTCCCAGCACCCACATCAAGTAGCTCACAACTGCCTTTAACTCCGGCTCCAGGGATCCAACACCCTCTTCTGGCCTCTGTGGGCACTCTCACCCGTGTGCATACACAAATGGTAAAATTAACCTTGAAAAAGAAGAAAGGAAAGCTGAGTAAAATAAGCAACTCTACTTGAAGGCATGTGAGCCCACATAATAGTGAAGGGCTTCCTGGCCAGGATTCAAGCGGGGATGGGAGCCGCAGGAAGGAGTTGGGTGGTTCACCCTACATGGGTTCCCAAGCCTAGAAGGAACAACAGAAACCAGAGCTGAGCTTTTGACAGGTCTCCAGGGCTACAAGTGCAAGGCAAGGAGTCCAGGGCCTGCCAAGTGCACAGTGGAAGGGGTCTGGTGAAGCCATTTCCCTTGAACTCAGACCTCAGAGAAATCCAAACTGGTTAGGGCCGGGGAAAAAAGAGAACAGGGGGAAGGGAGAGGAGATGGGGAGAAATAAAGGGAAGTGATAGGAGAGGAGGGGAAAGAAACAGACCAATAGGGGCCCTCAATACTGGAGTAGCCTGGCTCCCACAAACTCACTAAGCTCGAGGAAACACAAGATGATTTGAAATTTTCAGCAGACAGCTGAAACCAAAAGATTTTAAAAGAGCCAAGTGTCATGAACTGTGATGGTGATGATAGTAAATCCAGTTGCCAGAGTTTACCTTTGTAGTTGAAACTTTTCTCACTCAGTTCAAGCTTGTACTATACTTAGAAGCTTGTAGTGAGAAAGGAAAGCATGGGCTAGGGACATAGCTCAACAATAGGATGCTGTCCTAGCATGTGTGAGGCCCTAAGTTCAATCCCTGCATTGATTTTTGTTTGTTTGTTTGTTTGTTTGTTTTTGTTTTTCGAGACAGGGTTTCTCTGTGTAGCTTTGGAGCCTGTCCTGGAACTCACTCTGTAGACCAGGCTGGCCTTGAACTCATGGAGATTTGCCTGCCTCTGCCTCCCGAGTGCTAGGGTAGTCACCAACCCCTAGTGCACGCCTTAAAACCCAGCACTAGGGTGCACACCTTTAGTCCCAGCACTTGAGAGGCAGAAGCAAGCAGATCTCTGTGAGTTCAAGGCCAGTCTGGTCTACAGAGCAAGTTCCAGGACACCCAGGGATACACATAGAAACCCTGTCTCGAAAAAAAAAAAAAAAACAAAGACAGGGTTGGAGAGATGGCTCAGAGGTTAAGAGCACTGCTTGTTCTTCTAAAGGTCCTGAGTTCAATTCCCAGCAACCACATTGTGGCTCACACACATCTGTAATGAGATCTCTGGTGCCCTCCTCTGGCCTGCAGGCAACATGCAGGCAGAACACTGTACACATAATAAATAAATCTTTAAAAAAAAAAAAGGGGGGGGGAGAAAGAGAGAGAGAAAAAGCAAGCAAGCAAGCATGGCTGGTCAACATTCAACTGAACATACCACTTGGGTCCCCCTCTCATCACTGGGAAGATCAAGTTGTCAGTCTGCCCAATGGCATGTGACCGTCCCACCTGCGTGGAATCACACAGCAAAGCAAACATATGATTCCCCCTTTTCCAGTAAGCAACTTCAGAAGAGGCTGTGTTCCAAGACAACAAAGAATGAGACAGTAGCTCTTCCAACAAGGTCAGTTCTTTCTGACCTCAGAGAGCATCACCCCTGAGAGCACAGGACACAAGGCCTGATCAAGGGATGGGCTTCAAGCTGTGGAGGACTCCAGGCTGCTGGCTACCACGCAGACCCAGAAGATCAGAATAACAGTCCATGTCTGTCCTCTTAGTTCTCCTTGTCCTATCTTGCCCACCCCCCACCTGCTCACTAGGCTGTATCTGGTTTCCCTGCCACCAGAAATGACAGAGCCAGCTAGGGAGGGAAAGGAAGAAAGGAGCATGTGGCTGGCGGATGCTGTGGGTGCTCCTCCAGGCTCCCCGACTCCTGGTGCAGGAGACTGAATCCCAGACCTTATGCACAAGCCCTGTCATGAGGCCCAACTCCCTCCACTGCAGCCTGGATTCCCCCTTTTGTGGTTTGCCCAACCCATTTTTGTGGCTTTTGTCTCAGCAGTCCACACCAGATTACCTTCAAAGCTCTGCTTTGGGGTTACCAAGGCCCCTTTGCCCACAGGCACCAAGAGGTAAAAGTGCCTGGGAACTAACACCTACCCATCCTGAGATGAGTCTTAGCCAGGTACCCAGTGGAGTGGGAGTATGAAAGGCCAGCTCCCTTGCAGCAACAAGTCAGGACAAACCTCAAGGTGTGGTTGACAACCCAAAGCTCCCAGTGGGATCAGGCTGCAGCTTCGATCCCCTTGCTCTGCCTTCCCCTCCCTCTCTGGCTTCTCCTGTTCAGTTTCCAGTCTCTCCTGGGAGTGTTTCCTTAACACACCGTCTGCACACAGCGTCTCCGTTCACAGCCTGCTCTCCTAGGACTACTTAAGACAAGTGGGGCTGGTATGTCTAAGAAACAGACTCGGTGAGTGAGATTTTGGAATTGGAGCACGCTGGACAGGAGGCAGCAGGACTCTGTCACCCAGGGTAAGTGAGTGTCATCACACCTAAGTGCTGTAGCAAGGATACTGAAATGTCTTATGGGAAATTAGAGCTGGCTGTGGCTGGAAGGAGACACTCTGGCTTGTGACAGGAAGCGGTGATTTAAAGGACATTACAGAGTTAATTCGTTGCTGATGGATAGTATTGATTTTATTTTGTGGAAGAGAAAAAACAAGCTCAGGTCAGACAGTCACCAATTTAGGGCAAAATGTGGAAGCCAGAAGGTCTCCTCAGCAGCTTCAAAAAGACTATCATCAGTCTAATAATCCCACCTTGGTGTTTTCCCAAAAGAGTTCACCTCAGTTTGTCAAAGAGATGCCTAGGACAGTATCCTGTTGTATCCCAGCCCATACTTTCCTCTGACCTTCAGATGTGCACTGTGGTGTGGACACACACACACACACACACACACACACACACACACACACACACAAAGAGCTTTGTTTTGGTTTTGTTGTTGTTTGTTTTAATTGAGACAGGGTTTCTCTGTAACTGTCCTGGCTGCCCTGGAACTCAATTTGTAGAACAGGTTGGCCTTGAACTCACAGAGATCTGGCACCTCTGCCTCCTTGAGTGCTGGGATTAATGGTGTGAGCCACCACTGCCCGGCTGAGATGTCCACATTAATGCTCA